ATGTGCTGAAGATCTTTTATGCGGCGTTGCGTGTCGTTCCCTCGGATACTGAAACGAAATCGCTCGATTAAGTCGGTTGTCGATCGAGTTGAAGCGAGATAGAGAGAGAGAGAGAATAAAATGATCTTGAAGCGGAGGGATCGATGTTTCCTTACCTTTGCGTGACTGCCAAACCTTTGGAAAAAACTTGGTTATTTCGTTAATTCTTAATCGTTCGTCTTTGTCATCAATTTCCAGTTTGGAACGTGGAATGTGGGCTAGGATATTATTTTTGGGAAGAAATTTTGGAATACCGATGCGTCAAGGATAATAATAGGAGACGTCCCGTCTCTGTATTAATGAGAATAATACGTGAAAGTGAATAATACGTGGTTAGAAAAAAGAAAAAAATGCAAATTTGTTCGTTTGTCGCATATTGCTTTATTTCAGGTTACATTTCACTGGCACAAGTACTAGCAATGCCCTAAGAAATTCTCCGTGAAGAAATGATTCGAACAAAAGTGATTTACATCTGTAATACTGTTCTGTGTTCTGCGTTTCAACGACTAAAAATACTTTCTCGTACTCTTACTTACTCGTTAACACATTAAATTTAAAGCTACCGTTGGCGAGGTTAATTGCCTGATACTAAACACCCGTTTCCCCTTCCTTAATAAATAATCGATGAACTATATATATATATATATATATATATATATATATATATAAAATAAAATTTACGAATTAATTATTTAAATTCTTTCTTCCTGTTGCTCTTCTTTTTAGAAAAATTAAAACGACAAAATAATAAACGAATCATTCGTGTAATCGCGCGGCATGTATTTTCATCCAAGATTCCTCGAAAGATCTTAGCGAAAAAAGGAAAGAGAGAGAAAGAGAGAGAGGAAACGATCCAAAAAAACGATCTTCGTTTCATCTCTTTCTCTTCTTCCTCTTGCTCTTCCACTCATTCACTCTTCCGTACCTCTCCATAGACTGTCTAATCACCTCCTCGAAACCGGACCAATAACCGTTTTCCGTATTATCGTTGGCCCTTGCGAAACCGAACGAGCTAGGGAACAACCAAGGATAGAGAAATGTGACTACGCCGAGGATTCCGGCCGCAAGCGCGGTGAAAGGAGCAGCCGCCAAGCTGAAGAAGCCGTAATGCAAAGGATCGAACGTGAGATAGGCGAAGGCCGAGGTTATGGAGTCCATGATACCGGTTGGTGACAAATCGAAATCCTCGTCCTCGTCCTCGTCCTCGATTGGACGAGACAGACTGGCAGAGGGCAGACTGCTAGCTGGAGAAAGAGAGGACCCCGTGGAAGCGTCTGAATTGGAATTGGCGGGTGGCGCCACAGCCGGACGAACGAGAGAATTAACGGATGGAGGATCGTTCGCTTGGTCGACCATCTCAACAGAATTCGAATCAGCTTGTGCAACTTGGCCAGAATTCGTGATACTGATCT